CCAAGTGAGCTGTTGTTTCAATGAACAGGTCAGTGAGCTACTAACAATCTTTTTTTCTTCAAATTTATCATTGATAAAGGTCGCTCAAGTATTACTTTTTGCATTTTTTACATGATAAACAATGAATTCTCAACAAAATTTAATCCGATATAAAAAAATAGATAATTTATTTTTAATGCTCGAAGCCTTTGTATAAATGTAATAAATGCAATCCATCTTTTAGCCTTTAATCAAACTATAATGAATAATACTTTTCATTTTTCGTTCACTAATTTTAATAATATTTCAGCAAAGATGATAATTAAGGTTATAACTTTTTTCGAAAAAATATTTTCGTATTACCAATGATACTTTTAGTGTGATATAGCATATGCAGAATTACTATAAAAAGAATTTTTTAAAAAATCTACTTGTTTTCAGAAAGCAATTTTCGCTAACGACTCCATAAGTTGATTCAATTACTGTTGCAAAAAAATTTATTTCTCACCTTAATATCAATATTCTTTTACGTACTTAAAAATACTTTTTAATTGGTAAGGTCATTAATAGGTGAAGCCAGTAAAACTGAAGTTGAAGCTTCGACAGATGGTTGAATAATAATTTTATTACTGTATTAAAAGATTATAAAAAATAAAAAGAGTACGCTCAAGCATTTAATTCTATAGATGTCGTCATTGATTGTGAGTGTTACCATGATTATTATTTAATTATCATAATTGATTGAATACCCTGAATCAAATTCAGCTAAAAAAAAATCATTCAGCAAATTTAAATGTTTCAGGAATTATGCGAAAATGATAAAAAATTTATCAGTCAGTTTTGGCATAAATCGTCTATATTTTTGCCATTCATGTATAACTCTAGAAGCATCAATTACCAGAATTTCAATCAAACAAATTAGGATAATAATGGATTATTTTATCGGATCCTTTCTAAATTGGTAATTTCATAGTATGCAAATTGGGAGATTTTTTTTTTCTTTTGTTCCCTTTTAATACCAACATATATACATTCAACAGCTGTTCGACAAGTGAAAAAATTTGGGCGATATTTCGCTAGCGCTAATATAGATATATAGATATCTTACAATCGGTTGAAATTTGTGAAACCCAAAATTACCAAAAGTAGCTAACTTGAACCAACCCACCCAAAATTTCACAGAAAGCATAACACCAAACGCAAACAATTATTTCTAAGCGCTAACCAAATAATTTATTCTTATTCAAAAAATTTGGGTTTTCCCAATTAATTGAGGAGCGTGAGAATTTTAAAAAATAGTAGACAATACACGGAAAAGGTCTTGTTTTGTTCGACAAGAATAAAAATAGAGGTAATATAATTGTTCTATTTTCCCGATTATTTTCTGTTTTAGCAATAGATGTATGCAATATGTATATTTTAATGCAGTCTTAAATAATGGATTTCCTTTTTAATCTTTTTTTTATTTTGAATTATTTATATATATATGACGATATGCGAAAATTTTTGATCGCAATTTAGCTAGAGTAGCGCCGCTCTTGCGCATTAGATATATATATATATATAATACGTTGAAATTTGTGAAACGCAAAATTACTAAAGAAGAAGATTAAGTTAAAATATTAATACACCGAAATTACCAGATAAGTACTTTGGGTAACACTAAACACTAACGATTGCTTTTTAGCGCTAAATAAAAAAATAACGTGGTAGATTAATTTTATCAGATTTGATAGGTTATCGATTTTGACAGGATCGGTTTTGAGAGTATTAGATATCATTAGTTGTTAGTAAAAAAAGTTCCTATTACACGCATATTCATTAAAGAGTTTTATATGTTTTATAAAATAGCTACGTACTATATTTATGTTAATAAATTCTCCCGATTCTGATATATAAAATTTGCAAACATAGACAAAAAAAAATGTGAACTAATACTAAATATATATAATTATATAAATAATATATAAACTAATTTAAGCATAGGTTTTTTTAAAAGCATCACGATTTCTTAAATTAGCAATCCATCTTTTAACATTAGGTCTTTTCTCAAATATATAAGAATGTGCTGTGTCAGCGTAGATATACTGTGCACACCCAGCATGAAGAAGATCAGCGAAAGAATATTCACCAGTTAAATAATCTTTTCCTTCCAAAATCTTTTCATAAATATCTAAAACCTTTTCAATTTCTTCAAGTGCTTGTTTAACAACTGCTTCATCAATAGGTTTACCTAAAAAATTTTTAATAACTAATTCTTGATATACGATTTTTGTAAGTGGTGGATCATAATATGCTGTTTCGTAAGAGAGGTATTGTTCGACTATAGCGGCTTTGTTAGGATCGTCAGGGATTAAGACAACCTTTGCGTCTTTCTGATATTTAGAAATTAAATATCGACAAATTGCACGAGATTCATGAATTACAAAATCACCATCAATAAGGACAGGAACTTTCCCACTATAATTAATGAATTGTTTTTTTTTTTTTTTTTTTATTAATATTTATTATATATAAAACCAGAAATAAATAGATGATACTTACAAAGGGTGCTTATTTGCGATAAAGTCCTCAGTTTTGATGGTTTGAATATCAGTAACAGGCTCGAGTTCGAAAGGAAGACCCAACTCATTAAGAGTTAAAACAACTCTGAGAGTATTTGGCGGTTGAGGAAAACCAATGAGTTTAATAGCCATTTTTTATACTAAATAAGATTGGAAGATTACTTTCGTTTATCTCAAGGAAAAGCGAAATGGACGTCTATTTAAGTGTTTTTTTGACGCGCGTACGTACGTAAGTATATTGTTTCTAAACTTTTCCATTCGATTAATAATCAGTAAATGTCGCGATATGTATGATAGAGAACTTTTATTGTTACGGTTATGCAATGTACTAATGCCAACATAAATCATATTAAAGGTCTTGTTTTGAACAGCACATAAAATGGGAAGGAAATTAACCGATTCCGAATTAGTATACTGTATTACTATTTTTAAACCATGCAAATTCTTGCGTTAGAGGTTTTATTCCGAATTTGAAAAATTTATCGGAGTCGAAATAACAATTTTTATAAATTACGCAATAAAATTTATCACGAATTATCGTGAAATTTAGATTCATTTTATGCACGATTTTTAAAATTTTTGGGCATTTTTGTAAGCTTTTTTTTTGTAGTTAAGTTTTATAAAAGAGTATAGGGCTTATATTTTCAAATCAAGTCCCAAATTTCACGATGGTTATAACAATAATATTTTATCGTTATACCAGTTTATAAATATTCGTTTTCCTTTATCTCACACTCTGTTATTAGTTATAAAAGGCGCACAAACATACGTAGGTACGTACGTACGTACTTACTTTCATTCATGCGTGCATACGTACATAAATGAATAGAACATAGGAAAATGAATTACCTTAAAAAGTCTCGCGATCGGCATCCGGCTCGAGATTAACCGATCAAAATTCGTAAAATCGATCTTACTATCATTACATCATATAAATGTTGGGAATACTGTTCCAAACTTGAAATTGTATGGTATATAGAAACGAATCGAACCAACTATTTATGGAAGCTTGTTGTATAAAGAACAAAATTTATATTACTTTATCTAGGTAGTTCCTTGACAATCGTTTTCCCTACAGGTAGGGATGCATCGGTCCTGAAAAGACCGGGACCGATAAGAACCGTGGGCATTTTATGCTGCAATAAACTATTAAATTATGCATGAAACAAAAATAATTTATGTACTTTTATGCGCATATATTTTTTCTTAATTATGTGAGCATTTTGCACCCAAAAATTTTAATTATGCTGTGTCTTGAACATAAAATGGCATAAAACGGAAGGTTTATAGCTACCTTAGTATGAAAGCCGTCTTTCAGAATAGTTCGGAACTTACCGCCAATTTTTTTCTCGACCTTGCTCGTTAATTTGTGTCTATTCGGAGCCTTTTGGAACAGCACTTAGAGCCAATTATGCAATAATTACACAATTGTACCAATTTTATGCAACACTATGCAGCAAATTTAACCTATTATGCGTTGTCGACTATATTATGCGGTTTATGCTTTTATGTGAATAGCATAAAATCATCGTCCCTGCCGTGGGACCATTAAAAGACCGGTCCTTGTAAACAATAAAGTAGCTGCGCGCGGTGCTGCTCACTTCACCCACAATCATTTCACCGAAAGTTCACTTAGCCGACATCGCATAGGGTTAGGATTAGCGTTTTGTTAGTTGGAGGTATATATTTTTTAGTAAATTGTCACTCAGCGTGATGTCGGTTAAGTGAGCTGTCGGTGAAATGATTGTCGGTGAAGTAAGGCGGGCTGCGCGACGTCATCGCGCAAAACTAGGAACGGAAAAGTATTTAGATATTAAGTGGTCTGAAATTTCAAGTTAATCTGATTTTGCGATTTTCGATCAAATTTAGATCATGTCACAATTAGGGTTGTTAAGCAGTGCAACTAAGACCCGGTCTTGCGCTCTGTCTTTGGACCGGTATTACGAATAGTTGTGATGTATGGTCTAGTAAAGTAGTGGTGTATGCTACAAAAATCGCATTTGAGTATGCTATATAAAACTAGCATACTATACTCAACAATATATATAATATATAGTAGTATAGTGACCTAATGAAAATTCTACAAAAGTGTTTTAACAAAAATCAAGATTTTACAGGATTGTACACATTATTCTTACAAAATCAAGATTTTTAAAGATTGTATATATCACTTTAATGAAAAAATCAAGATTTTTTTATGAGCTTATACATACGTATGTTTATATCTCTAATCAAATGCTTTATTATTTGTAGTAAAAGATTTACATAATTCAATAAATTTGCAAATTTTTTCTACATAAAACGATTAATAGGTTTGATTTTTTGGTCAAAATATCTTGGTGGTGCAGAATGTTGTGCTTCATTATATTTATAATTCCCTAAACATGCTAAATAAATAGTGACAAAAAATTTTAAACAACCTAAATAGAAGCCTTTAGGCTTTTTAATGTGCAGATTTTAAACTTTCTCCTTTTCAATGTTTGCTAATTCAATCAAATGAATCTTTGCTTCACATTCTCTTAAGTTCATTATACATTCTTTTAGTGCTAAAAACCATTCTTGATATTCAAGCTTATTGATATTTGTATTTGCTTCATATTTGCTTTCACTTGAATCTTCAGAATTAATAGTAATTACTTGGGGGTTTTTTTTAGCTTTTACAGATTTCTTTCATTTGATTTTAACAGATTTATTTTGAATCTTCACTAATAATTTAATAATTATAAATAAATACAATAAATATTGTATATTTAATAATTATATTATTAAATAAATAAATAATTATTATCTTTACATTTATTTGACAAAACACTATAGCTAATAATGCCTTTATCTTGCCCATGATTAGATATATTATTTTTGATGAATATTTATTGCAATAAATTTCTCATTATCCAATTTACACCCAATACCCATATTCCAACTGACTTCTTATCCAGATTCTTAATTGGTCTATCTCTTACTTCCAACCATCAACTCAGAAGGTTCAACCTGAGCCCAGTTTTAAGTGCCTTTAGCTCTGTCTCACCTTGGTTTATATTTTCATAGCATATATTTTCCTCCAACATGGAATTTCCCAGTCTTTCAGCATACCCAGCCTATTTTTTTGACCTGTGCCTTATGGCCTGTGTCTTCCAATCCACAGGTTCACTAGAGTAGGGCCCTCTGCTACCGGTTTTCCAAGCTGGTGATTTAGTTGGTATGCATCGTGTATGTTTGTTAATTTCTGATATTTCTGAATTGGCAGTCTGGTTGGTATGTCCTCCCACTTTAGAACATGATTACTCAGTTCATCGCCTCAGGCCCCAGTTCAAATTCAGCCTTCCTGTAGTACCATCAAAGATTACTGTTACCTCCAAATTTGAGACTTTCCAAATAGATTTTTGGTTATGCCGGTTCCTCAGATTTATTGCGCCAAAACTCCCATTTCTGAATGGTATAACCAAAGTTACAGATTTTGTTCTAGATCCAGCTGATAAGCATAGCCATCAACTGGAACACAGGCTTATTTTTCAAATATCATCGTCTATAGGATTTGAACTCTAGACTATTATAAATTATAATTAATTGTATATATTAGCATATATAATATTGTATTTTTAAATCTATTTTGTAGAGGGTGCAAAGGACCCAGACATCTCTAATATATGTCATATTTTTTTTTCAGTGAATTGCCAAAAATTTGGTCAAAGGTTCAAAGATGAGTTTTAGCAAATTGACAGAAATTTTAAAATAGGTCATAATTGACTATTTTGGCGAATTACATCAATTTTAGATATGTTATATATTA